ACAGCCAGGTTTTCGAGGTTGGGAAGAGCCATTGCCGTCGCACCCCGACCTGAGACCCGCCAAATCTCAAATCACAGTGTCTCTGTAGGCTAAGGCTTTGAGAAGATACAAGATGGCTCCCACTTTCCGCATCCACCGGCCAGACGTTTTGGCATCGCTGCCGCGTCCCCTCGACCATACCAAGGGCCAGTACCACATTGGCGAAGTTTACACACAAAAGCCCGGATCCAAGAAGAGGAAGAGACTGGAAGTTGTTGTTGGCGTGGACGGAGAAGCAGCCAACATTTACCATGTAAGTAGCTGTATCGGGGGACCTCCTCAATACAGCGTCTAACAGTTGCTTAGGTGCCCTCGTCCGGTCTGCGAACATCGTACCCGATTCCGCCTCAAGAGTCCTTCACTTGCGCGCCGCACTCGATCCGATTCCAGGGAGAAGGCTCAAGCGGTCGCAACAACTACACATACCTCTCCACAAGAGACACTACCGGCGCAAAGGTTACCCTCTGCCGCGATGTGATCGACACGACTGGCAAGACAAACTCTGCTAGCACGTCTCAGCGAGTGCGCCATAAGTCCCCAATCACGCATCTGTTTACCTCCGCCGCCGTCGATACCACCATTCTCAGCGAAAACCAGTCTGACAAGGGCCCTGTTGTTGCTCTGTGCAAGGACGGCCAGGTCTTGTGCCTGGACGGCGAGGCATTGGAGCAAAAATGGAGCACATCGTCATACAGCCTCTGCAAAGATCTGCTTCCTGCAACCGTCTCGAACTACGAGGTGGAGTTCTCTCTACACGCTGCGGCATCGGATGTCTTGAATGGACTGTTTCAGGGCAGACAGGACGCCTTTGGCTCTTTCGGACGCCAGATCGACTCCAAGACCTTCAACCCCGACGTCCTCGCCTTTGTCGCACGCACCACCGGCGAAGGAATCACCTCAAGATTCCTCATCATCTTCGGTATCATTCCTACGGCGCCTTCGCAGCCGCTGGTTCAACTCCACGTCACGCCCTTGCCTTCGCAAGACGAAGTTGGCGCCGAATCGGCCACATATCAGCTCCATACCCAGTCAGGAAAGCTACTTCAGCTTTACGGTTCGGTCCTCCGAACGTACGATCTGACGAGCGCCGTGCCCAAGTTGCAAGGCAGTCTGCCTCTGCCGGATTTGACTTCTTTCCTTCAACTCTCAGAGCACTCGGTTCTGTGCCTATCAAAAACCTCCGCTAGCATGATGAACCCTACCTTCCACTCGATCCAGGCTTCGACAGCAGTCGAGTTCCCCGAGGCCACGGAGCAGCAGAAGCCAACGCTCGTGACTTTCCTGTCAAAGCTCGACATGGCGGTAGCGGTTGTCGGCAACACTCTGGTCTCCATACAGATTGAGCGCCCCAAGTCTCATAACAAGGAAGGCCTTCTCATCGATTCCATCGGCAGAGGTCTGCCGAGGTCTGACCGTGTGCCAGCAAGCCTTCCCAAGGCTGGCAACGAAACCTTTGAAAACTACCTCCCAGGAACACTGTCTGACGAATATGTCAAGGAGTCTCTGGCTGATGTCGTGAGAGCGGATGGGTTTATGCAGGCACAAGACTGGAAGTCATTCGAAGCCCTGCTTGCGCAAAGATTCGGGGTCGCAGTGCAACAGGAGGTGGTCTCTAATGAACTCCAGACGCCAACCTGGAAGTGGCTGGCTGAATCAGAAGCGTACCCTGCCGTTGACCGCAGGTGGGTGCTCTATGCCATCAGCAGAGTCTTCTCGATGGAAATTCAGAGCCCCGAATCGGCCATCCTTCGATGCAACCTGCCCGCAAGCAACGTCTTGATCTACCTCGTTGCTGCTGGCCACCTCACGAATGCCAACATGTGTGCGGCCTTCAAGAGTGAGCTTGCCGAGGTGGCACCCAAGGATTCGGTCATTGACAAGCTGGTTCAGAATCTCGTCGCAATGAACCCTGCCATGGAGCTGCTCCTCAGCTATGTCACGGCAACCAAGCTCGGCGAGAAGGACTTGCTGGTGGTGGTCCGCGCTATCATGCAGACCCTCAACATGAAGCCGCCGCAAGAGCTGCTTGCGCTGACGGAAACCGAGCAAGAAGAGGACGTGGCGATGGAGATTGAAAAGACGGAACAAACGCTGGAAATGGCCGAGGTGGCCGTGTATCACATGGACGACGACCGCAACCTCCGCGAACGAGCTCTCACAACAGCATTCGAGAAGCTCGCAAGCTACTCGTCCATCGCGACGGTGCGCGCCCTCCGCGAGACCCTCAGCCCGACGGAGATTCTGTCACTCATCGACACTCTACGCACACAACTCTACCGCGGCGCCTGGACATCACGGTACTTTGACATGACAGACATGGACAAGGACGAGGCCGCGGGAACACCACCGGATGGCACCATTTCTCTCATTGCAGAACTCATTTCCCGCTGCATCGATTCCATCGGCCTCAGTGGGTGGCTTACAAATGGAGCGTCCTCCGTGGGCGGCCGTGCGGACGCGCTTGAATTCATTACCAACCTGAGCAACGAAGTCAGCGCGGCCCTGACCGGTTTGCACGAGACAGTCCTTCTGGACGGCTACGTTGGCGAAGCGGTTCAGTACGGCCGAACAGCAAAGACGGGATCATCAGCCAACGCGGCTGCTTCCGCGCGCGCTGGGGCCCTCGCTAAGCCGGTCTCCCTTGACGTGGAACTCTCGACTCGCTTGCCTCTGGGCCTCGTGTCCAAGCAGCATGTGTCTAATCAAAAGATCGTTTCGGGCGGCGAGGTGCTCGAGAGGAGCTCGCGTGAGAGAGGACACCTGCTGAGTCAGAAGGTCAAGGCGTACTCACTGGAAAGGATCTCCATTTGAGCCGCATGTCAGATGGAAAAAAGTAATTTATCGAGGGGATCTGAGGCTCCACCAGACGAGCGTGTGAGATTATCGGGCTTTGAAGTAAAAAGTTCAAGGCTGAAGACAAACAAAATTCGGAGGAGGCTCTGCACGGGCTGATGGTTTGGGGCAATAGAACCCGCCCTGTGACGGTGTAGCCTGCGAGTAAGGGATAGGAAGAGAGGGAAAAGCGTAGAGAACGAGGACAAGCCAGAAAGTGAAGTGCTCAAAAAGATACCATGAACGGATACCGAAGCGTACATCTTTCCCCTCTCGTCGACCGCGACATCGGTTACATTCGGTGAAGGCCAATCATGTGGTCATTTATGAGCCACCTTCAAGAATTGAACAACTCCCATGTGTCCCCTCCCAATGGACTTTCTACCTAGCATAATAGACTTTGCATTGATCGATTGATCGAACAATGGAAATCATCGACCGAAGTCTAGCGCCAGCTGGCATGAGGAATTGGGCTAGGTACGGCAGGGCTGACTTGAGATGCACCCTTCCTTGACCAGACGAATCGGAACGCTGAAACTTACCCGTCGGTGTGACAGACCACTTACAGCTGAGGCATTTCGAGAGAAAGCAGGTGTTTTTCGAGGACTGATTAAATTGGATGTACACGATTCAGAGCACGATAGTCTCCCAGGTTGATTGGTTGGTTGCTTCGGAGAGATTCTGTTTGCTGATGAATCTCTACTTCTATGGCGCTTAGGCCCTGAGCATTTTGACTTTGTCGGCAAGCGATCTGTTAGAGCAAGTCAGGCGGTGAAGCAAAATCTAGCTTCTGAATAATCAAGAATACGGTTTCAACATCTATTGCTGAGCTGCTTCAGCGATACCTCAATCCTCGGCTCGTCAATAGACATGTGGCAGTAGGCAGAGACAGACTAATACGTGATACCGCTGACAGAAGCAGAGAGGAGGGGGGGCCATATGCACAGAGGCCCAAGCTCCATATCTCGAAATGCTTCAGGACGCATGCTCCCGTCTCAAGTGACTTCACGGCATTGGGCGGGTTGAGTCTCCGTGTTGCTGTCCGGTACTTTGGACAAAATGAGATGCCGAGAGAAAGAAGCAGACGAGAATCTGACAAGCCTCGCTCTCTGCCGTCTTACAAGCCGGTCCACAAAAGTCTTGAATGCAGAAACTGTACGGTACGACCCTCATGAGCTGCAGGTGAAGAAAACAACAGACTATCGATTTCACTAGATCGATGGAGAAAGGTGGCTTTGCACATTCGGGGCTCTGCTGAGGGATTGTGCGGGGGAAGCGAATGAGGCCCTTGAAGTTGCATCGTGGGTAATCGTTGGCAGTTCATGGCAGATCTCATGGCAGATCTGATTGGATGCTGACGATGCAACCGATGCAAAGAGCCCTTTCTCAAATGGTTGGCGGCGACGCTTGATGTGGCTTGTCGGACAGCTTTTCCTGCGCCCTCTTGCTGCATGTCCAGCGAAGACGTAAGAAGAATGGGTTGCCTGCCGGTCAGCTACTTGGAAGGCACCGCCGTGACAGGTATGCTTTGCGTCCGAAAATCTTTGGAGGGATTGAGGGAATGTGGATAGCATCGGAATCAAGCACATTTCGACAACCTCCCGTGATGAAGGGCGGAAAGATGCATGGACAAGGCAATGAGCTCAAGGTTGTACAGTGTCCAAGTCACAAAGTGAGAAAAAGGAACCACGAGATCAGACCAACTTAGGAAAAGGAGTCATAGACGAGAGTTTGTCGGCGAGCATCACAGCGAAGAGACAAAAAGCGCGGTTCTCACACCGGAAATATCGGCTTCTCGATGTACGAAGGATGCCTTGCATCCAAAGTCCCGCAGCGACGAGAGCCGTGTTGTTGCTGCAGTGGCATTCGTCAGCAAGTGACTTCTTGTCCCGGGTCTCCGGTGTTTCCAGTTGCCCGCTCTCAAGTCTCGACTCTATTCTACACGCGTTGTAATATCGATGGAGATGCAAACGAGCTGGCTGAACTTCGGAGTGGGTTTCGAAACGGACCGTCTTCTACAGACAGCTCTGACTCTTACACGAACCCTGTTTCTTACCAATGACATGTTCAAATCCCTTCCAGGACCCTGACGGATGGGCCGAATGGGACAGAGCTTCTAGAAGCCGTTTTTAGCGTCTTCTCGTGTTCGACTCGATGATACGGATACCGGAGACGCCTTTGGGGCCTTGGATTCCGGAGTTCCTCTTCCCCCAGGGCCAAGACGAACCGACATGCAGAGTCGAACCCAAAAAAACCGTTCTTTCGCCTCCCCTGCCCGTATTCCAATCGGTGTTCTCAGGGGGGAGCTGCAAGTGCTGTTCCGTGTTCTGTGCAGCAGCGAGGATACCCACATCGACTGGAACGCCGGGTATGCAGGACAGCACGAACGAGGCCCTAATAGAGACAAGGACGAAGAACATTGAGCGCGCTGCCCTGCTGGTGCTGCTGGAAATAGGATCTCTCGGGGTCCGCCGAGAGGCAAGAAAACCAACTACGACGCTACCGTGGGATACCTGCCAGAGCGCAACAAAGTTGTCACTTGTCAGAGCTCGCTCGTGTGCCCGACGTTTGCCCCGCTGCAACTTGCCGAGCGCTACAGAGTCCCCTTCGCTGTCACTGTGTGTCGAGTTGAAGCGCATAGCACCAGGGCCAGGGCCAAGCAAGGTTCTAATCGAAAGGCTTCTGATCTCCGTCGTGGCCCCTCTCCGCCGTCCTCTTGTTCGTCGCTATCTATCTGGATGTCTGCCTTGGCGTCGTCCCCATTGCTTGACGTTTGGTGCTTACAGGAGTAGCTCGCCGACCACAGGATGCCTTTCCTGGGGCCGCTGGGCATTCTGTGCTCGCCCTGCCTGTGAGGTAGAATTGAATTGTTACTGCTCACGCGGGGCTGCGTTCCTGTTTGAGGCTTGGCGAGGGGCAGCCCTCCAAAGTGGCTCTCTGGAAGAGTCCGAAGGGAAGAGCTCAGAGCGTACAGGGCATACAGGATGGAGGGGAGCTGCACGGCGCTTCCTGGATTGCTGCTCGCCCCTCGATTCATCCAGACGGGTGGCGCAGGCGGCAACAGGGACGCCCCAGTAGCCAAGGGTGGCGCGTTCCTTTCTCCCCCGGAGAAACTGCGTATGGTGACGATGCTGCTGTTCCAAGAGAAAGAGAACTCGGACCACATGGTTGGCGAGGATGGGTGAATCCGAAAGGGTTCAGTTCAGGTACAACGTTACGGATTGCCGGTACATGTGCTGCTCAGTGTCAATCCAAGGCCAAGCCCTGTCGTTAGCATGACGCCCGTGATGAGTTGAGGTGAAGGGTCGAGGATAGGCATTACAGCTCTATGGAGAAACAAAATCTCTCCAAAACACGCCGGGGCTATTTCAGGATGATTGTTTACGAAACTTTTCATGTTCAATCAGCTCGGCGATATCATGGTCGCTCTGAAGATTGGTAGACGCTATTTCCGGCAGTTGAAAGGGCGTAATGCAAGATTACCCTGGCAGCTAGGGTTGGCAAACAAATGCCGCGACTGAGTCTCAAGTTCATTGATGAGCTTGTGAACAGTGAGGAACAGAGAGATTTGAGGAAGGGATGAATCATGAATGATAGCTTCACAAGATCGAGTCCGGTGGTTGCCTACCTTACCACCACATCCACGATCTACGGGGGTCTCTGCAATGTATCTTCTCGGCAGAGCGAAGGTAGAGAGGTACATGGAAGAGGTATCCAGGCTCTCACAGAGACATATACAACGCAAGAGACACCACCCTGACTCTGGATGTCACTGCCCTGAGAGACACATAAGCAGTCTGACACAGCAAGAGTGACCTCTGACCACTTACCAGTTACAATACATACCTACCACAGTAAGTAGGCACTGACCCAAAGGAAAGGGCTGGAGAGAAAGGGTCTTCTGCTCCGGCCGTGCAGCTAGTCCCAGGCGGGCAGCAGATGGTGCAGATCCAACCGTCAGTCCGTCACTGACCCCCTGCCACTGACGGCCCCCCTGTCTCGTCTTCTGCGTGCCCCCGGACAGTATGATTTCATGGATCTGGAGCGAATACGTCACTGCAGGAAGATGGAGCGTGGAGCAGGAGCGTGGAGCTTGCTTCTGCTTGTCGCGTTGCCAGTTTGCTGCGCGCTCCTCGTCTGCGTATGGCACCTCCCACATCCCACCAGCCAACCACCACCGACAGCAAGCAGCAAGCACTACATCACAAGCTCATCTCAGCCCCTCCCTCTCTTTCTTTCTGCTACCTGCTTTGTAGTTGCCAGCAGCACCACCAGGGAAAGAGTACTTGCCGGCTTCGGTCTGCCTCGACATCCAGCTGATGCCTGGTGTGCCTCTTTGATCCCCCTTCTGCCGATGCAAGTCAGAAGTCACTCTATTCTCTCTGTCTCTGCAGTATTAGCTCTCGAGTGAGTTGAGTCATCCGCGCAACTTTGCTCTGGCCTTCTGCGCTTGATAATCGACGAGAACCTCTACATCATCACTCGCGTCTCCCTCAGCCAGCTGGCAAGTCCAGCACTTTGCTCAAACCCTTGGGCCTCTACTCCCTCTACACCATCGTTTACAATACGGGATAGACCTATTGGGCACGGCGCAGATCCGCTGCCTTTACGGATACCGGTACACGCGAACCCATCACCAATGAAGTCTGCCCCCCTCCACCTTCTTTACTACTATGTACTGTGTAATGAAGAAGGGCACTCGTCAAAGCTGTGCTCCCCCTCCATCCCACGGTACATCCCAAAGTCGACTGTTTCTCCCAAGCGACGCGGGGCCGAGTTGGAGTCGCCCTCGGGTTGCGACCACATGATTAGCTGCCACACCCAAGGCCATGGACTCAAGTAGAGTACACCGGTGAGGTACAACCTGACCCCCCCTGTCTGCGTTTCCCTTGCCTTTTCTTCCCTCTCCCAAAAAGGCACAAGTGACAGTTGAAGTCATTGTCAGCCATCCGGTTTACTGTACGTACGAGTACGTTCCATGACAATATCGCCATGAGGCCCCGTTTCGGGTCACCACCACCTACCTCCTTTGCTCCTCGCTTGGTTTTCTGCTGGCCTCGCCTGGATACACCTTGACAAGCACACAAGCAAGGCCTTGGTTCATGATTTACCCGCCTGTCTATCTGTATCCGTAGTGTACCTCATCGCCTCTGTATCTCTTCTCCTAACTCTGTACGGAATACTTGATACTCAGAGGGCTGAGTAACTCTACTTCCTGCCGACAGTTGGACTCCAGCTTTTCGGTGAAGCAGATCAGGACAGGATTTGGGGAAGTTGTTATTCTCGGACCTCACGTTGCACATCACAAATCAACACTCTCTCGCCCTTTCTCACTTCTCTTCCTCTTGAGACAGACCCCTTCTTCTCTTCATATCTTCCCTTGCGGACCAACCTTTCCCTTTTCAACCCTCATCCTCCGTCCGTCACCCACGTTCTCGTTCCCGGGACCCCTGCTACATCTAGAACCTCGCAGCCTCTCCTCTGATGCCACATCTTTATTGCTGTGCCTGACTTGCATCACTTTTCCCTGGTCTTAACCCGCCCTCCCTATTGCGTATGGCTGTCGATCACACCCGACACAGCGTCCCAATACATCTATCGCCTACCCGCAAGAGCGCACTATCTTAGACGGACGTTGATTCCTCCCGTCTCTCTCCCTCTCCATCGCATCAACACCAACAACCACCAAGAAAAAACCACACACCCGTACAATAGTCACTGCTCGTCGACTGAGCAGGAAACTTCACCAATCCTGACCACAACCATAACGACCCCATCACTCTCTCGTGATGAGTAACGGCAACTCACCCCCCAGTCTCAGAGCTGTTGATGCCTTTGCGCGCGCCTTATACCGCCGCGCCAAGGCATCGGGACCAGATTTCGACGACGTTGCCAACGTCGTCCGTCGCCTGCACACGGTCCTCAAGCACCTCAAGGTCGAGTCCGAAGACCAAGATTCTCTCCTCAATTCAGATGCCTCATCCGTTTATAACCGCCAGCTTGCTCCCCTTGTTGAGGACTGCGACTTTGCCCTCAAGCAGCTCGAAACCATGATCGAAAAATATGGCGAGAGTACACAGCTTGAAGAGCGCGAGCGTGACATGTTGACCATGGTTCGCACGAAACTTGCCAACCAAGAAACCGCCATCGATATGTTTCTCGACACAGTACAGCTGCACAACCCCAGCAAAGCCCAACGTGTAGTGGACGAGCAAGGCGGAAACTTGGACAACATCAAGGACAAGGTGGATGCCATTGCAGCAAGGTTATTTGCTCGGAGAGACAGCGGCATTGGCGACGACGAAGAGGACCTTTGGCAACGGTTCCGGGCCGAGCTGGAGAAGGAGGGCTTCTCAAAGGAAGTGTTGCGCAAGAACAAGGTATGATGATCTTGAACACCGAGACGGGAACAAAACAATTGCTAACTCCTCTGAACAGGAGGTTCTGCGTGCCTATATTCGCGAACTGGAACATTCAACTGGAAATGATGCCACGGCACCACCCTCGGTTCGCGGTCTCCTCGCCCAGGAGCGCGCATACCCCCATCCAGCCATGGCGGTTACACCTGCATCCTACCAGGGCCGCGACAATTATGGTCCTGGAGAGACGTACGGTTCATATGACGACAAGTATGCTCCGGCTGTAATGGGTGACCGCCGTATGGCTGAGCAGCGCTCCGCTCCCAACATGCCAAACGAGTTCAGCACTCTTTCCACTTATGGACGGGAACATGGCGCGGACGATAAGCACAACGACTCTCTCGCCCTCATCTCAACTCGCGATCTCATGGCCATGGATACCATCAACCACGGCATGGATAACCTTCGCCTCACTGCCGCTCAAAATTACAGTACTTCCCCTTCATCTACTTCACCGGCAAACCGCTATTTACCACCAGATGTTGCAGCCGCCCGCGCTGCAGCAGACTTCTCCTCCTCGCCCTCCAACCTAGGCGTATCACCACGCTTCGTACCTCCAATCCCTTATCCCAACAGCCACGGTGGCCCTCCTTCCGCATATGCATCCCCACGTACGTCCCAAAGCCGTCTTGCACCAGACCGCTACGGCATGGATATTCCCCTGGAAGCCAAGTGGACGCGCATTCGCCGTGCCCTCATCTCCCCCGAGATCCTTGAGCGTGCTGGCGTTCGCTATGAGGCTCGCCCAGATTACGTCGCAGTCCTCGGTGTTCTCAGCCGTGAAGAGATCACCAACTACGCTCGCCTCTCTGCCGAGGCCCGCGCTGCACGCTCTTCAAGACGTCACAACGGCGGCCCCCCGCCAACAGGTGGTGCAACGCAAGGCTCACCTCGCCGGCGCGGTGATTCGCATACCTCATCATCAGAGGAACCCCTATGGGACTCGTCCGACAACTCGTCAGAAGCCAGCTACCCCGACGAGGAGAAAGGAAACAAGACATACTACATTGTTCCCCCTCCCTCAGACAAGGAAAAGGGCACGTCACCCGCCGCAACCGTTCAGCCAAAGCCCATCCTCAAGAACAAGAACGAGAACCACGTCCGCTTCGACCCGCAACCTCATGAGCTCGACCCCCACGCCTCGTCTCCCCGCTCCCATCGCGACGACCGCGATCGGAGGAGAAGGCCCTCGCGCCGCGAGCCCAGGGACTACGAGAGCAGGGACCGTGACGGCCACTACAGAGATCGCGAGCGGGAACGTGACCGAGACCGCGGTGATCGTGAGAGGGACCGCGACGGCCACAGAGACCGCCACCGTGACCGGGACCATTATCCCAGCCGTCACCATCGCGAGCGATCTGACCGCGACAGGCGAGACAAGAAGAAGGCCTGGGGCGAGACGCTGGGTGCCGTGGGCATCGGTGGTGCCGCGGCCAGTCTGCTCAGCGTCCTCACTGAGGCAGCTTCTGTGTTGTGATCCTCCAACGCAACTACCTACCTGTCTATCATACCTACATACCGTCTTTTCTAGTCTTTTAGTTGTACGATGGCTAGTTGATTGGAGACTTGGACCCCCGGTATCAAACAACGTACCGTTCTTAGGAGCTGGCGCCCTTGTTTTCCTTTCTACATATTCTTCTAGCGTTTACCATTGGGGCTGTGCCCAATACACATTTTGATCCGACGAGAACAGCAATTAGGAATACAGGACATTTAGGGAGACGGGAAAGGAAATCTTTTGCAATCA